TATATATATGTATGTACTTAATATGGGCTGCACACTTTACTGATTCGGATTTTTTTGGTAACAGCTAATTTCAGCCTAGACCTAGATCAAGGAAATGGATCCGAGTGAGTGTCATAACGTCAAATACCACCACTGCTGCTTGAGAAGAACACCTAGGTTATTGCTGCTTACCCTGACTATTTGTTTAGTATTAAGAAATGACAAATTTAATTCAGAGTATTTAAGGAAATTATATTTGTTTATAATCTACTTCTTAACCCTTATTATTACTATATTATTTACTAATTATTTTTACAAGCTACTGAAAAAGATATATATGTATATATATATTTGATGGCCTGCAACGAAGGCCATCAAAATACTCGTTGCACGCCAAAAGTACATCCATATCTCTAAAAAACTAGAATTATCGGAGCGGACTAACCTTTCACCCCTTTGTATACCAGATCAACCAGTGATAACAGGTCATAATAAGGACCACAGTGAAAGTACAATTAGCGATTAGATTAAGGATCTAACGCGGAATGCTTCGTTATGTCTTCTTCAGATCGTCGTCATCCCTATCAAACTTGCCTATACGGAAACCAAGAAAAGTTGCGCCACAGCTTAAGATGCGTCGCTACCGCTTGACAGCTTAAGGCCTGTAGTATAAAAGATCTCCACTCCGCTTTCCCTTGTCGTTCAGCCCGTAATGGCGCTTGTTTTGCTTAAACGCCTTCCTACGACGCTCTCCTTAATTCTAGGCAGGACCTTCTTTCTACTTCACTCAGCCGTTGTGTCGCTGTTTAGTTTCGTCTAGATTTTACCTTCTGCTTCCCCTGTTCAAATCGTTGTATGAAAGCCGAGGGCCCATTTCAGCTCCGACTACTTATTTTGTCCCTTCTATTCCTGAAGCCGACCACGCTTCAATTCGTCGTTCCTTTTCTATTTCTTTAGAATCCGTAAGCAAGTCGTCTTAGTTTTCTTCTTCGCCTCCCCCTGCGCTAGCGTGTGATAATTCTATAACCAGCGTCCTGGGTCGTCATCGGCTCTCAAATACAGATACAGTAGATATAAGAGGGATTCCACTCTGCTTAGCAGCGGCGGAAACTCTTCTAGCTAAAATCGTTAATTTAGCTTGAACTGTTATGGTTTGGGACACTTCTGCTGTTCTGTGCTGTTAAGAATAGGGCTGAACGGAGCTCAAAACGTTTACGGCGACTATGTTGTTTTTCGTTTTCTCAAATTCTTCCTTTACACCTACCCTTCATTGTTTCTCTTTCTTTCTCAACGCAGTCTTCGCCTTCTCATCCTCCTCCGGCTTTATCGGTCTTTTTCTTTCTATTTCAAGTTGACAAAACATTGGTATCACTTTCCAACCTCTGTTGTCGCCGTGGGGATTATTTGATGGCTATCGCTATAAATATCGCTGTTCTTTACTTTGTCATTACTTTCCTCGGTCTTCACTTCTTTTTATCGTTTTCCCGTCCGCCCATTTGTTTACGCTATTGTTTTCATTCAGACTGAGTTTAGGTCGGTTACCTTGTGTGTTTCTAAGTGTACCTTCTTAGCGGCAATGGCATGTCATAGTTTTTTGGTAATGCATCCCCATATATCAGGGAACAGTATTGTTGTTATGGTTCATTCAGGATGAAGCATTTTTCGCACTAAAGCACTGCCTTTCGCGCTAGTAACAGTAAGGTCAAGACACCGATTAGTTGTTTATAGAATATCTGTTTTCTTTGTGTTACCTCAGAAAACAACACTATCTAAAAGACATCCAGCGAGGCTAAAAAGGAACTGCAGGTTTATAATATGAGCTGTGGTAGGTTATATAACTGTACGGCAGGCAATAATTGCTAGGGTGCTAAAAATTATCACATCGTTAGTATTGAAGTATTCAGAAGTCAAGACACGTTCGATTATAATTTGTCGCGATCAGGTGGAACTCCAATTACAGTGTACAAAGTCGAACTACCTGAAACAATTGTCTGCCAGCTGTTAAATACAATGCGATCCGTATTTCAAGTTCCGCATTAGGTTAGTGCGAATAAAATGCACAGATCAGGCACGTTCGTTAGCAATTTCACCTGACTTCAGCACTCCAAGGGTAAATGTAACGAAGTCACATTTTTAAAGCCTCAATTGCAAGTATGATTTTTATACATCTATGAAGTTACTTGTAATTTAAGTAATATATTAGCGTGATGTGCACGTTGATTCAGATCAGTCTAGGCTGCGGCCTGAAATCTGTATAGCAGCCTAACATAGCCTCCGATCACCACGAATCTCGCTGCGGAAATGAACTAAGCAAATTTTTTTTTCTACTTGTACAGAATTATTAAAGTGATACAATGACAAAAATGCTCGTTGTTAAAATACTAAATGCATAGCTATTAAAGCACGTGTCCATGCCATCCCATCATTTATATCTCACCGTCATATTGTATCCTAGAATAGGTTAAACGCCCTCAGTAACCTTTCCTAGTAATAGCCTTATGGAAATATTTTACCTATTCTTAATTTCAATCGCCTGGCAAGTTTAAGTGAATCTTCGATGAAGTGAACAGGAAGCCATGATGCAGAAAAATTTATGTTTATTCAACTCTTACGGGGTATTTTTTAAAAAAATTTTCATATATGACCTCTTATTATGGTCACAACGTTTTCGATGGTTGGCTATATCAACGATTATCGGGTCTTCTTCCTAGATGGTATCGCAATCAAGCTTTTTTTTTAATCATCATATTACGAAGCAGACTTTCTTTGGTTAGATACTATGGGCGGCCGAACTGTTGTGTCGTGTAAGAGAAATGCTTCGAAAAAAGCAACCTTACATTATATAAAAAAAATAGCCATTGCCCACAAGTTATTGGAAATACTCATGCATTTTTTAAGGTACACGGTTAATGTTATTTTTACATATTCTACAGAAGGACTGAACGAGACAATCATTCCTGCGTACAAACTTTAGCATCAAATTAGGCGGTTAGGGAAGTTTTGCTTATCACTTGAAAAAGTTTTCCTCGATCTCTTTGAAAACTAAGAGTGGTTTTATTTTAGACCTATTGAGTACTAAGTAAATTCTAGGTAGGGACTTCCGCTAAACTTGAGGCAACGAAGAACTAAAATAATAGATATTGCATGATCTAGTACGACGTTTTACATACACACGACGGGTCCAGCATCTCGGGTGAAGCCACGCTGCTGTAGCTAAAGTGTATGCAACTAAAAGATGCCGAATTCGCAAACGATTTTTTTGTCATATTGGTCGCTATTGACA